TATAAATCAATATATTCATCACTCCGCTCAGAATTTAAAAAACATAGTTTTGTTGTAAAACTGATACTGTCTTCAGTGCATAACAATGTATCCACGGAATATCTGAGTTGTTACGACGGAGAATTACGTATATTAAATTATTGTGTTCCAAATAAAGCCGAAATGATTCAATTTTGTTTATAAAACTGTATTGAGTTAACTGTTTGGTTGTTTGCTAAACAATACGGGATCTGCTGGGCTCTGTATTTAGTCCCTAAATACTTATAATGTTTCCAAGGGTACGTTAAGTTAATTAAGAGATCTCAACTTTAATCGGTTTAGACAAAGTTAGAAAACTATTCTGTTTCCACTTGTATTGGGTAGATTTGATGAAAACGAAAATGTATTTTAATTCATTGCTATTCATCTTAACAATTTTTTAAGTACTACCTAAATTGAAAAAATGTCTTTTTACTTAAAACTTTTTCATATGTAACTACTTAAGTATTTTAAATGCTTATTAAGCACATTTTTTTCAATCTAGAATAAAAAAGAATTTTTGCTTCCGTAATATTTTAAAGATATAACTTTCATGAATTGCAATTTCATTTAAATTAAGAACATCTTGATAAAGACACAAATACTAAGCGATTTAAAAATAACCGTTTAGGAAATACTGTTTAAGGTACAACTGTTCTTCAATATAATACATTCAAACTAATGAAATGCGTCTTTTAAATTTATTACACAATTCATCTAATACAAGTAAATTTGCATTTTATTTTGAAGTGACAACATTTAAATATTCTTCAAAAAAGCTGCTAAAACGATCTTAAGTTGTCCGCTGAAATCATATTTCGAATGCGATAACAATCGCTTTCTATTTAATATGTAAATATTGAAAATAGTAAATACGCCCATACATATCGTTAACTCAATGACAAAATACTCGTACAATTTGTATTAGATTATGGTATAATTTATATCTGCATTAACATAAATATGTTCTTATTTAATATTTTTCATTTGTTATACAATTCAATACATTTATCATGTGCATTATTCACTATTTAGTATCTAAATACGATACAATATAATAGTTAGACAAATAAAATATACCCTAAATCTTAGTTAAATAAAATATATTTTTTTTAAAGTTCAATTGTTTATGCATGATAGCATATAAATCAGTTTTGAAAAATGTTCAGATAAAACTGAATTCCACAAACATTTTCGAAAATAAACTGAGCATAATTTTAACCATATAATATGGTGTATAAAATCTGTTACGACATGTATGAATATTCTAGATGAACATTCAATACTTCAAAATGTAAAAAACAATTAGAATCTAGAAAGTATCATTAATGCTAGTGTACTCGTAACCAGCAATAAGCTTAATACCGAGCAACTATTAAAAAGCACTTAATATGTTTTTAATTACCTGTTTTGTTAAAATAAAATTCAACGTGCTAGTAGGTACTGAAATTTTTTTATATCAAATATATTTTAACAAACTAAACAATACCGTGTGATAAACCGAAAATAATATAATACATTTTAATCTAGTTTTTAACCTTTTTAAATTTCGGTTATTATGTCATACTGATTTACGGTGCAACATTCAATATTGATGCCTACATAAATGTATAGAATAAATCATAGTTTTGTTGAACTTTTGTAAAGAACTCTGACTAACACAACACAACCATGAGCCAACTAAGCCAATTAAGTTTTCTCTGCTTATTTTTCCATAAAATAGCAATTTTATAGGCAGAAATAAATAAATATGCAAAACAACTGGCCGTTCAAGAACTTTGTGGAATAAAACTGTTAAAACTGTAAAAATATAAATATATACGTACTTATAGTTTTTAATATTGCACCGTAGATAATACTCGTATAATATAATACGAGTGTACAATAGTAGTAGTTTAAAAGGAACACTCGAATGACTCTCCTTCGATGTTAATATTATAAAATTGTAGTTTTCGTTGGTTCATCTCAACTTAAAGTAAAATACTAATTTGCATCCTACTCAAACATTTCCAACTAAGCAGTATTTAATATTAATTTTCAGTTGTATTGATTAACTAGAGATATTATTTGTCAAAACACATATATTTTGATTTTTGTTTTAGGATTCAGAAACGTGTTAAAAGTAACAAACGATAACAATCGTTGCAAAACTTACAAACATTTTAAACTCTGATTACAGCGATGAATGTATTGGTTCTAAAATTGTATGTGTCTAAATTAATAAATTCCAAGAAAAACAATAAATGTATTGATTTTACTATAATACCTATGTGTTTTTTTAATTTTATTTTTACTGTTTTTGTTCTGTGTATACGAAAAGTAGTAGAAAAAATAATTTGATAATCAAAATTAAGAGTTGTATCTAATAGTTAATTGGATATAGTTGGTTCTTTCGAGAAGACAAAATTAAAAATTTTGAATACTTTTAGAAACAAAAAATTAAAGAATAACTGGAATTCGTATACAAAATTGATTGGTTTAACTCATAAACAAATAACCGCGGATACTTGAAATTTTCTCCAAATGTTTATATTAGCATAATAAAAAAGTAAATGTAATACAAAGTTTTTCATATTATTATAATGTGGTTCTTGTAGAAATTCAAAAAGAAAAGAAAAATTGCATTGACACAATTGTTTTTTTTTATTAATTTCGAGATATTGAAATTTTAATTTTCAAAAAAACCGCTGTTAGGTATTTATATGAACAAAACAATTTTTCTAACAATTGGTTTTAATTTCTAATTGAATTATGTTAAACGTAACAAGAAACAAGAAACTTTTCATCATTATGGCATTATGTGTTTATGCCTAATGTTTTTATTATTTTATATACACAATAATATTTTCAAAATAATTAGACAGACTAATTTTAATACCACGAATCTTTAAAAATAGGTACATACCATTCTACGTTACGCTGTTTTTCATAGTAGAAGTAAGTTCTTTTGAAATTTTGTTCATATTATTACTAGGGATTTTATACCCAAATCGGCTAATTCAAAAATGTCCACATCTAAAATGTTTTTATGTTTTTTGCATATGTATATTCAATGTAGAAATATAAAAATAAGGTGCATATTGCATTATAAGAAGACATCCTGTAATATATACTTTATGACGTATACCCACTGTGTTATAAAAATACTATTACTTTGACCTTTGGATTGAAATGATGTTTTGAAATAAAAACAATTTTATAAAAATAATATGTAATAATATTATAATTGTATAATAATTAATTTTGTAAGTTAAAATTGGTCCATTCGGTATAACTTTCATTTCATTACTATAATGTTTATTCCTATTGGATAATCTTTCCAAACTCTAGTTTCTCACAGTTGTCTCATTTTATTTACGAAGTTTCATTGCAACATGGAATTTCATAATTTTATTTTCAGAAGTATAAAATAGTTTTTATATTCATGGCTGTGACTAGATTTTTGTAATAAACATATTACACATATGTCTAAACATTTTAGGGGAAAAATTGAAATGTGCATATCTATATACTTTTAAGTGCGAAAATTAACTTAGGACATAACTTAATAAATGATTATAAGCCAACATTGTCTTCAAAATTAAATGTAATTACCTAATATAATATAAAATACGTAATTATATACTGATAATTACAATGTTACATTACATTGTTCAATTAATATACATGATTTCAAAACAAATGGAAAAAAATATTTAAATAATAATAAAATATTAATATTATATTATTATAAATTATAATATAACTAATGGCCTTTGTTGTCGATGTTATGTTTGTGATCAATAAAAAAAAAATAATAATAATAATTGTTTATTATATAATATATTGTGATTAAATATGTCATCAAATTTTAGGGCTAAAAGCTATCTACAGTAAAACCTAGGTAAAAATTGCAAAAGAAAAAACCACGGAAAAACTGAAAAGAAAAAAGACAATTATCCCATAATAATTATTTGGAATGGACTCCGTAATACGTTATCAGAAGTGCTTCACCAAAATCCATTATTGTAAACGAAGCATATATTTTTCTGCTCCTTTGATATTCGTTATAGTTTTTTCATAATATTGTCATTGTCAGATACCAATTTATATTTTCGTTTCATTTGTAGATACATATTACAATTATTTTAAATTCAAAATAATACTTTTAAAATATGCTCATTTGTAACCGTCAACTAAATATAAATTTATTTAAAAATACCAAAATAATTATGTTAACAGTATTATATATATATATATATTATTATAATAATACTATGTGAAAAAACACAATCACCATTCATGAAGTCGATGTCAATTTTATTAATTTTTTGAAATTTGAACGTATATAAGGTACTCGTAAGGTGAATCGACCTATATATTAAATGATATTAAGTAATTAACTAAGACTGTATGATATTTAAATCTTCCTATTATGATTTTATGAAAAATTGCTTTTTTTTTCATTATTCCTAATTTTGATTTTAGTATTATGATTTAGATTTTTTATTATATTCCGTTCTCGTATTTCGGCTTTATACATATCACAGTATTTAATACGTAAATTTGTATGAAAATAATGTGTAGTTATACAAACATTCGCAGGTATATAGAGTTTTTACGAGAATCGATAGAATTTTTGGATAAAAATATATCTTGGGACTTAATGGGAACTGTTATTATAATTTTACTGAGTATCGGACGACAAATCTTGATAGTACTTGAGTAGATTGTCCCTGCATATAATAATCTACAGTTCATAAGAAACTATTAACATCAAAATAAAATGATAATTATTAGTGTGTATTGTTATGCATTGTTATTTGTTTAACTGGTTGTAAAACCCACGCGATTATACCTACTGTACCTACCAATGACAGTGAATAAAAGGTTTAACATCTATTTGCTTTTCGTATATTATATTATAGAGAAATACTTGAAAAATGAAAGTCCTTACCACTCCGCTAAAAACATCTCTTAAGAGATGGCTATATAAAAACAGATGCCTGCGAATTGGATCCTACCAATTGTGAAGGTGAATGCAAAGGAGAACATCGTTTTCAACAGTATTTTATTTTTTTAGTTTAACTTAAATTTACAAAACATTTTTTGAATAGTGTTTGTGCTCGTCAGAATCACTTGCTTTTAACAGTATCTGAAAAAGGTAAGTAAGAAATTAAAAATCAATCAACATTTCCATTAAAACTTATCTCATGATAATTTCAAAAAATCATTTTTTTACTCAATATTTTACATAAATCATCATGTTATTGTCACTTTGAGTTCAGATTTTGAACACTACATTCTTCAAATAATAATTTCGAGATTAATACATAATATAGAATATACATTATATTGCTTCAATGAAAAACGCCATGAATATTAGATAAAAATAATAGTATTAAAGGGATGATTTTTCTTGCACAACTGAAAAACAACCAGCTTTATTATTAGTTGACTTTAAGCGCCTACCTATAACGTACTATAAGTTGCTAGCAATTCGAAGAATTTTCCACATAACTATAGGTATTTAAGATAGAAATTCGATTTATATATTACCTATACTACGTTCGTGTAGAACGAAGCATCTATTATAATAACACCTATGTATGTAATTTCGCTACAACTTAGACTATGACATCATAGAATGTATATACTTTTAAAGTATTTCCTTTGCTTGGCAAAAAAAACTATGCAAATGTTTGAAACAGTCTCTCCTCGATAACATTCGACACTTACATTTTAAATTGTTCTCAGTAACGCCAATTTTAATACTAACTTCATTAGTATTCTGCAAACAGTTTCTAGAGTTCTATATTATATGTATAATAATTATATTGTAATTAGTTTAAATAATTTTTCACTATCCTCGTTGATTAATTTTAATTCAAGCAATATATTTTAAAGTAAAATTCTCCTTTAAACTTGGCAGATTTATTTATATTCTGAGAAAAACTTTAGTTTTACAAAAGCTAATTGTTTTTTTTTTGTGGTCATCATAAACTAAAAAGAAGTTTCGTCTTGCCATCTTAATATTATTGAACATGAATGTTTTACCCATATAATATTATTTTTTAACATCCCCGAAAGGTTTGAGAAATTAACGAAATGCATAAACAAAATAAAAAAGGCTTAATTCAAAAAGTTTTGAATAAACTAGCTAGGTCTATTCAGAACTGGATTATTAATAGAATAATTATTGTCATGTTAAAATTTAAAACAATAAATATACAAAACATATTTTGTGACGAGATAATTTTTCGCTTTTTTATGCTATAAGAATATTTCTTATGAATTCATATAACCAAAATGAAGCAACAACACAATCATTTTTTTTATTCCTTATTCCAAATTTAAACTTTTAAACTGTTCTGACAATATTCAATAATTAGTTTTGTGTATTGATTGTACTAATAAAGCCGAATAACAAACTATAACTAATTAGAAATGTGATATGTATAAATAAATATTTTTTTATCAAATAATTAAATAAAAATAGTTTTAATTCGATTGAAATTCAACATTATATTATCAACCCAGTTTTTAAAAAAAATAACTTATATGATAAATTAAATAGTCCTGTCGTGTTATATTGTTTAAACTTAAAACAATTCTAAAATCTATAAAATAATTTAAGATAGTTTAAATACAAAATATTAGTTAAGTTTAACACAACATTCTTCTTAAACCTTCCTATTTCATCTAAACTAAAAAGGTTCATATTAAATTATTTCATATGGATTCTGATTGACTCGATTTTATAAACTTCTCTAGATTATATTCAAGCATTTTTTTTCAAAAAGTGTTATTTATTTATATTTTAATGTGTTGGTATTTAAAAGCCGATGTAATTGAAACATATTATACTCATATAAAAATAATTTTACCAACAAATCTGGGATACATTTATTTATTATTTATAAAAATAGTATAATAATTTCAGTTGTTGTAAATTATGAATAAATTAACATATTTAACCATTAATAATTGCATAATATTATGTTATGTAGCGATAGCCTGCATAATATAGGTATAGTGAGTAGTAACAATCCTTCTGTGGTTGGATTCAATGTAATAATGTTTATTATCAAAACACATCATTTAGCAAGTTTTAGGTACATAATATTAAATACTGCATCTACAAATTAAATTTTCTTGCTTTTAAATCAATAATGGTTATATTCAATTAAAGTTATCATATTTCTCTTGTATACTTGTATTTCATACAAGTATACAACTAAGCAATTTAATGTTCATATCTATATGATTTTTTTTTTTAGAAGGCTAGGTTTCAGTATTTTAGAGCTTAAAAAAACACAGTATAATTTTCTAAATCTGTAGACATTATTTTTTATTCAACCTTGATTGCATTTTTAAATTACGAAGCCTCATTGGATAACTTACTAATGAATGAAAATCATAATAATAAAATAAGATTAATTCAGCTCTGTGTACGAGTGATGTTATTATTTAATAATAAATAATTTTGAAATGTCGTTAGGTATTCATTTTGTTCAATTGCGTATTTGGATACTAACTCCAAATTGTATGAAAAAATAATTAATTTAATGGACTAATAATGAGCCACTAAATTATATATAAGTGCTTAATTTTTTAATGGTTGATTATGCAACCTTGTATAATTCAAAAACAATTAAATGTTTTAAGATTAGGGAATAAATAAAAAAACCAATTTTTAAAATCAGTTTTTCTTAAGATCAATACAATAGTCAGAAATCAGTATAAATATTAAATAACTTTGGTAAGACTATATTACAGTATTTAACTGCTCATAGTATGTTTAGTAGTAATTAAATTAAAACTTCACCATAGACATAGGTAATATAATATAGTTGGCAATAATATTTCCTCTCCATAGATCTATAGAATATGTGGGAAAACGTTCCATTGAATTTTTATTCGTTTTCATATTTTAATTATTTTTTTCAGAACGTTAGTTTTTCTTAAGGCCTACATCTATTATAAGTGAAAATTCAAAATTCCTTTTAAGAGTTTACTTTGTATCTTTACCTGGGGGTTCGACTTAGTTTCGTCAGTCAAAAACTATTTCCATATAAATCTTCTGATAAACTAATCGATTGTTGATAACCAGTGTAAAATATTGTTGTTTTCATTGTTCCGCAAATAAAACAGTACTCAAATAATTAATGTAAAAATAACCAAATCGTAAAACGTTTTTGTCTGGAATAATAAATTATACCTATATTTATTTGATTCATATTTCATCAGGAATAGGTTACCTACCAGTTTTTATACGTCGTACGAAAATGATTAACCTTAATTGTATTTAAAATAACACCGGTCGTTACGTCAAAACATGAACATTTATTATATTATTGGTAAGATAACCTAAACGTTTGAAGCTCGTTACGATTTGCGATAAGAAATCGCATGCCTTCTAAAACACCAAAATAGTACTATGTGCATGCACTTTGGCGTTTCTGTATTTGACTTTGATAACGTTTTACTTTTACCGTCTTGAACAGAAACATTCTTGATCATCGGTTTTAATATTTTTTTGCCCCATTGTTTTCCGCGCACGGAGAGTGCATCTGAGAATCCGATATTGAGTAAGATATAATAATAAAATGTGTACGGTGCGCCGGTGCATGATATTATTATTTAATATTATTATCTTTTACAACGACGACTGACGATTTAACGCCGATCGATGGGAGAAAACCGCCGAGTTTTTGACAGCTTCCGTGGTAATAATGCTGCGCCCCACAGCACGCAAATAACGCTCACTTATCATCGGGTCGTGCGATGTAATAGTAGTAATATTAGCAGACGGTAGTAGTGTGGTAGTAGACTTTCCCCCCGACAAGAGGTCGGCGTAAAAGTTCGACATGCGTTTCGAAGGAACGAAGAAGCAACGACATCAAAAAAATAAGCCCGTCGAATCGCCGAGCACGACCTGACGTGCCATCGGCATCGTGTTTAATTCCGCGTTGCATTTAATAGCCGAATCATCGATTGATCGGTTTTCCTATATTAGGTATACTCGAGCACTACTGCAGAAAATACGCATAGGTGCGGATGCGGCGGCGAATCACATCGTTGTCGTCCCGCATAATATTGACATATCCACAAGCCTTATTATAAGAGACGTATTCGACCTTGATACGCGCGAGACCTAACCGCCGAAAACACTCGACTCATCGATTTCGTATGATCTTTACATTATAATAAAAAAATAATAAAAATGTATAAAATGATTCAATGTGTATAAGACGGTTTACAGAGCGCGCTACAGTGGTTATTATTGCCCCGAACGGTTTCGCGTGTTTGCCGCGAGCAAACATTGTCGGCGAATTTTCCGAAAAACCTCGTCGCCCATTGCCGATCTATTCGTATGTAAATCCGACGAAAATGGCCGGATCACGATCACCCGCAAGTCAAACACTCTGGGCTGATGACAAATCAAAAAGGAGAAATATGACTATAATATTATGCACACGCCGCAGCCGCTACGTATATATGTAATATTATATTATAACGCATACCTACACACTTACCTCATATATAATATAAAGCTACTTGAGTGTGAAGTTCTTTACCGTCGCCAGCCGGCCGGAAATCAAAACGTTACGAAATACCATCATCGCGGCGTAATTGGTCCCGGCGGATCGTGATAATCCGAAGACGCTTTCACGGAACGACGAGAATGACCTTTGCCCAATGGGGAGGGGGAGGGGGTCAAGTGACTTATGAATTTTCACTTTTTCCTTTGCTTTACCCCCTCGCGTGCATCAAAACAAACGCGCCGCTATAATATATAATATTATGTATGTACATTGTACATATAAGGCAGAATAGTAATGGGAAGTTTATTTTTATAATTTATTATTTGTGTATTATACACACGCATATACAGTTGTATTGTTTCTACGCGAGATTCCATTTTAATAATATTTGCATAATAATAGAAACGGATAATTCCGTCTGTGTATTATTTAAATGATATGCAAAAATCGTCTGAAACGAAAAAATTGTTGATCCCCAATAGTGTATAGTTACAGTTTTCGATTTAACGTTATTGTAAATTTTTGTGTGGACAATATTATTGCTGTTTTTCAATTCGATATTATCAATGTAAAAGCAAGATTCCGTACAGTTATTGGATTACTGTAGTGCTCCGCC